ATTATTATTATTATTATTATTATTATTATTATTATTATTATTATTATTATTATTATTATTATTATTATTATTATTATTATTATTATTATTATTATTATTATTATTATTATTATTATTATTATTATTATTATTATTATTATTATTATTATTATTATTATTATTATTATTATTATTATTATTATTATTATTATTATTATTATTATTATTATTATTATTATTATTATTATTATTATTATTATTATTGTTGTTGTTGTTGTTATTGTTGTCATCATATTAGTTTTACTTTAATTTACTTTGCTCATCTTTTAGGACAAGAAATTTGGCTAATATTTAATTCAGCTAATGTTTGGTTCAGTTTGTCTATGAAATGAGTTAATAGCGCGGCGCAAAAGCATTTGTATAGAGTTAACATATGCATATAATTGTAATATCCTTTAGCATTCATCAAATGAAATGATAGAAATTAGAGATTGTTGCATGCATTCATTACTTCAGACTTCTTGACATAACCGGAAATCTTTGTTGTTAATGTATAAAATAGAATTTACTGCATGCATGCATGCATGCATGCACAGCTTAAGTCTTCTTGATAAATCCGGAAATGTTTTAGATTATAACTAAAATTGGTAGGGAAGAGGAAGAGGGAAGAATGGAATTAATGCATGATTGTGAAAATTTCGGACATTTTGATACATCCGGTAGCATTTTCGGCATTATCCGGAAATTACATTACATTAATTATGTAAATCCTTTTCTGAAACACAATCATAGCATTTCTTAATAGCATGATTTTCAAATTATGATAAAATTATTGGAAAAATTTCATTCAAATTATTTCAAGTTTACAAATGATAAACAATCAATGATACTGTAATTTATCAAATTCGAAACATTATGTATTTTAAAATTTTTATTTTTTTATAAAAATTTTATTTAAACTTTTGTTTGTTAAAATTTTCATTCATTTTACCATTATGTATTTTGAATTTAACTTTTGTGAAAAAAAAAAAAAAACTTTACGCAATAATAAATTTGACAACGCTAAATATTAAACAAAATTTTTCATTATTCAATTAAATTAATGCTTACTGTTTAATTAAATTTTATTTATTCGGTTAAATTGATATTTATTATTTGATTAAATTTTAATTATTCAATTAAATTAATGTAGCTTTGCCATTCTTTTTTCTCCTAATTTATTTGAATTAATGCGAAAATTATTAATAAGTAGTAATAATTAAAAAAAAATTAATTAAGATTAAACAAATGGTTAAGCAAAATCTTCTTTGCTAATAATACGAAATTTATTTGTATTTGCTAATTAATTATATCTTTAAAATTATTGACCTTTTAAATTTCGTTTAAAAATAAATGATTTCAATTTATTTTCTTCGTTTCTCATCCTTTTTTCCTTTCCCATTCATTAATCAATTCAATGAACAAAACAATCATTTATTCAAAAAGGAAAAAAAAAACTGAAGATTTCTCAGAAAATTGTTAAACATTCAATTTTTTTTTTCTCAGGTCAAAAATAAGTAAACCAAAGGTCATATGGACTTAAGAGGGAACAAATATTTAAATGTGCATAAATAAAAGTACCAAATAAAAAAATATGTGAATTTTAATTTCAATGAACTAAAATTGGATTATAATATGAAATTAAAAAATTGAAATTTAAGGAATAAAATTTTTTTGAAAGAAAAAAAAATGAAACAAATAAATGAAAAAGTTCTACACACATATAAATTTGTAACAAAAATTTTATTTCATTTATTAAATAAAAAGTAAAGAAAGTTCATTTAATATATTTCTAAAATTTAATATTTTATAATAAAAATTTTAAAATTTAATATTTCGTAATAAAAATTTTCTAAATTTAATATTTCATTTAAAATTTCCATATCTTCTATGCTATTATCTCATTTCATTCAATTTAAATTTATGTCATTGTTCCAATATGTTTATGTACATGCATCGAAAATACACGCATGCATTTATGCATGCATACGTATGCATTGCACGCAAGTATATGTGGACACATGCATTCATGTTCATATAATAATAATAATAATATGTATATGTCATAGGCAACATTTCGTCAACTTTTCTCATAAATAATTTCCCAAGGGATGGATAGTTTCAAGGATGAAATATATGTATATGGATGAGATGGCATATTGGTGCCACTTTGATTGTTTGCTAAATTGGCCATGAAAGGACGGAAAATGTTGGGCTTATATTAGCAAGAAGGAAAAGAGCCAAGTAATGCATAGTGTGAAAAACTTTTTACTTTTAGTTTTCTTTTAACAGAAAGAAATATGATTGCAAAAATTAATCTAATGTATTTCTTTTTTATCGTTTCTCACTAATAAACAGCATTTTGTTTTTATTATTATTGTCGTTAATTATCGTTATTGTTGTTGTTGTTGTTGTTGTTGCTGTTGTTGTTGATAATGTTGTAACACTTAATATTGTTGTTGTTATTGTTATTCTTATCGTTATTGTTGTTGCTGTTCTTGTTGTAACATTTAATACTGTTGTTGTTATTGTTATTGTTACTCTTATCGTTGTTACTGTTGTTGTTGTAACACTTAATATTGCTTTTGTTATTGTTATTCTTATCGTAATTGCTGCTGTTGTTGTTGTTGTTGTTGTTGTTGTTGTTGTTGTTGTTGTTGTTGTTCTTGTTGTTGTTTGTGTCGTAGAAGTCCAAAATAGATGATGTTTTCAGTTCATATAAGTTTTTACTTTTAGTTTACATAACTAAATTATATAAGTTTGAGAAAGGAAATTACATATGTTTTTCTTTTTGCCTTAATTTGTACAATTTAATCAGAAAAATAAGTTAGTTGACAATTTTTCCCATTAAATATTAGTGAGTTTTTTCATGATAACTTTAGAAGAAATCTCAAATAACATGATAAAAAATTATTGGTGGCTTATATAGTGCCATTAAATTTTATTGAAAAGATATTAATAGAAATGATAAGATCAAATTTCGATTAATTTATTTATACAATTTATCGCATAATTTTAGTGTCTTTCTTAAAGAATTTATCAAAAACTTATCAGTTTACTTTATCAATTTATCATTAAATATTTTGTTATTGATATTTTCTTATTGCTTACTCATTTAAAAAATGGAATATTATTATTATTATTATTATTATTATTATTATTATTATTATTATTATTATTATTATTATTATTATTATTATTATTATTATTATTATTATTATTATTATTATTATTATTATTATTATTATTATTATTATTATTATTATTATTATTATTATTATTATTATTATTATTATTATT